CCGTTGGAAACGTAAAAAAAAAGAATGAAATATTCTAATGATATATTGGTACTTTAAAGTAGATCATGTTATTTGGATCATGAAATGCTGTTGTATTGCTAATGAGAAAATGTCACATAAAACATCATATCTATACAACGGTTGTATAAATGTGTTTGACTCACCTTGGCAGATGACTCCAGCATCTTCTTGGTGACCACAGTTATGTGATCCCCATCCACTTGATGAACAGTTTTTCAGTGTAGATTCATTCCCACGGCACTGAACATCATCCAACCATATTTGTCCAGAACCTTGTCCAAAATAAGCAGAGCTCTTTGCCTCTGTGACATTCCCACAGCCCAGTTCTCTACACACCACTGCCGCGTCTGTTGAATCCCACAGATCATCACACACTGTTCCCCAGATTCCATTGTGGAGAACCTCCACTCTTCCAGAACAGAGGTTGGGTCCATTCACCAACCTGACAGCTATTAATCACAAACAATATAAAGATAGAAGAACAGGTCATTAGATTTTTTTGCTTGTATGTTTGTAATTTTGATGAGATAACTAAGTGGTAATATAGTGGAGTTTCATCCTCCCCATCGTCTTTACCTCCGACTCCTGGCTGTGAGGCAGTCGTGTTTAATGTCACTGTTGCTGCAGAAAAAAACGAACACACAAATACACAACATTATGTTTTGATGATGATGTTGGCATGTCCGATTTATTGCAGTGCTGTAAGTCTGTTCAGTTCAATCAAGTGTTTTAGGCTGTTTTACAGGTTGTGAGAGAAACAGATCTGGTTCTAATTCAAAGCTGTATAATTACCTGTCCATGGTGCTGCGCTAGTTTGTGCCTGGCCTATCACAGAAAAAGAAAGATAATTGAAGTCTATTACTGTTCAAGAATGGATTTCTTTATTTGCGTGATCTTTCCCACAGTGAAAGTGATATTCAAACAGACGGTACACAAGAAATAGATTTTTTATTCTCTATACCATTTGCCGTTAACATGTTAAGAAGGTTGACCGCAACGATGCCACGCCAGAAGTGAGGCGGTACCTTTGCAAATTGGAACAAAATTCAGTCTGGCATTGAGATCAGGCCAATTCATTTAGCTAACGCCACCAACTGGCCAAAAGTTACAAAGTTACAAATGAAGCTAAATGTGCTCATAGCCTTTGATCGACTTTTCCTAAAGTCACCACTGGGGGTGCTATGACCAAACAAATCTACTCAACAGTACTGCGTGCATGCTGTTGGCAGTGTTGCCGGGTCCGCGGTTTTCCTTCAAAATGTGGCTACAGTAACATTGTTGCCGCGGGTTGAAGCGACCCCAATGATGTGATATTTAGCCCCTGGAATGCGAATTTTACCAGGGGAACCCCCCAGAAAGCGATTTTTTTTTTTAAAGGGGTCATATGATGCGATTTTAAGTTTTCCTTTCTCTTTGGAGTGTTACAAGCTGATTGTGCATAGATAAGATCCCTGAAGTTGCAAAGACTAAAGTCTCAAAACCAAAGAGATATTCTTTATCAAAGATAAGACTCTACCATGCCCCCCTAAAACGGCTCGTTCTAACACGCCCCCACATATCTACCTCACTATGTGGAAATATTTGCATAATGCGGCCCAAATGTGCACGCAAAGAAAGAAGGCGTGGTTTCAGGAACAGCAGTAGTGTTGATGCAGCCATGTCAGTGCGAAAGACAGATTTCAGCTGTCTTAACCGTGGCTTGTGTACTGCATCATCACTGTGTCTGTCATGCGACTCTGTTGGCTTGAACTGCTTGAACTGATGGTAAAACTAACAACATTATTAACTGTCTTGATATTTACTTTCAAAGCTGCGATTATGGATTATGGTAAGGGGCGTTACATTTCCCATCAGCTGGCTAATCAGAGCAGACTGCGCTTGTCAAAGGAGGGGGATTGTTGAAAACAACGTGTTTGAGAGAGGCGGGGCATAGATGACCTACAATAATGTACAGTATTTGAAAAATAATGTGTTTTTTGAACATTAAAGCATGTCAACATATTCTGTTACACCAAATACACAAAATAATGATCTTTAAAATAGCATCATATGACCCCTTTAAAAATTTATTTATGAAACTCAGAAATATGAGTAAGTCAAACACCATCTCACGCCAAGAACCTTCAACATGAACATTTTAAGATGAGAGAGTTTGTGTTGTAACAACAATTATAATTGTTAAACAGTAAAAATATTATCAGCTTACAATTAGTCGAATGTTTTAGATTGAAAATTCATAGACATTTATAGTATTAGTAATAACGGATACCCATGGGATAATAACGGATAATAACAGATTCACATGGGATCTTTAAACATCAGTGGAAGCTGAAAAGCCGAAAGACGAAAACATTTCAGATCATACTGAACTTCAGCTGGTCAGTCTGAGAGAGCTTGGCAGACCTGTGAAGAGGTTCTGGCTCAGATATTGTGCTAACTATTCGCTATTTTATAGT